TGTCGGGGGAAAATGGCAAAAAAGAAAGAAGGGAGAAAGTGCAACGAGAGGACTGAACATGAGAATGTCCCTATTAAGTTACATTAAATGCCTCAAACAGTTGATTTCAAAGTTTGGGTGGGGGCGGAAAGGTCAAAAACCTGAAAATATTCCTCCAGCTCTGCCCCGCGTGGTGCTGCCCCTGCGTGCCAGGCGCTGTGGAACAGGACCTAGAGGTGTGATTTACGGTCTCCCACACCCCTTGGGAAGGATCCCTGCGCTCCCTTGGCACGGGCAAGGCGCAGGCACCGGCCCAGAGCAGCGAGCAGCTCGTTATGTCCCTGCTGCGGCCCCTGCAGAGCAGCAGCTCAGCCCCTGCCCCTTCCCGCAGCCCCAGCCCTGGCTCGCCCCTCGCCGCTGGCTGCGAGCCCACCGGCAGCCACGGCACTAATGACCCAGCGCAGCAGCTCCTCGTATCCCGGGGAACAGCGTTTCTCTCCAGCACGTGGATCAAAGAGGGCTCTTGAGTCGTGAATCCCTCCGGGAGGATGAGGGGTCGGCGCGGATTAAGACGTGCGGTAATTTGTGAAGGGTACGAACAGAAGAAACGAGCCATTAGGGGAAGGATTCGTGGCTGGCAGGATCAAAGAGCATCAGTAGGAAATGTTTAGAAGACGCTGGGAACAAAGGGAATTCAAACCCATATGGGTCTATTAATAGACACACGAAATTTATTAACAGTGGCAACAAATCAAGTGTTCAATAACTTCCTGAGTTCTGCTTTTGGAGACAAGACGGATCTTTTTTTCATAAGGCTGATGAAGGACTTGCAGGACTCCTACTAGCCAAGAACTTTAAACAATACACACTCAAAATAAACCGATTTTTTACATCTAGACCTGGATAACCCAAAGAGAAGCATCCTCAAACTGTTGACAGAAGAATATAGCAGGCTTTGGAAATACCAGTCAACTGCTGAGTCAGCCTGAAATCAGATAATTATGGGTTGCATGTTGATATGAAGTAATAATTATGTAATCATTTCATGTTAGAATAACAGAAATATGATAAATACGTACCCAAGCTTGGCAGGGTGCTAATGGCAAAGGAGGGGTAGGATCAAGAAAGCAGCAACTCTGGGAAGAAGTTCAGGGTGAGCAAAGCAGATCCAAACTGATTGCTTGTTTGGGACATGAGGCCAGGCAATTTCCCACTACCAAAAGAGTGCACTGGTACTCACAAAGGTGATTTTTCAGGCCATGAAGTCTTCACTACAAAAATAGACTCTCTGGGGCAGACAGACCCTGGTAAATTCAACAGCTGGTCTCAATATGAGACTGCTTTGGGAAAGGAAACGTATGGGAGGTCCTGCAAGGTGATCTGCTGCTTGTCGGGGCTTTAATCTCTGTAAATAACCTTTTCTCCTGCCTTTCCAAGGCATGGGGAAAAGACTCCCATGTCTCGTCTCCAAGAGAGATGTCAGGTCGTAGAACATATTGATGAGAGAGGTAGGAATACTGGGTGCACATGTTCCTCTAGATCTTCCTGATGCCCTATAATTCACCTTTTTATTAAGTATCAGATTCAGGATAAGAAAGTCACGGACCAGGGGACATTAGGGTCTTTTCTTTCAAGCAGAATATGGTTTATATTTATGTCATCCATAGCAGACTGAGGATCAATTTGTGGCAGAAAACAAAGTTCATGAATGGGAACATTGCAAATAGTGGGAAGCAGCCTAGGAGAGCGTTCGGTGCCGGCTGTTGGCAGGCAATAATGGGGGAGGCAGAGGGAGGGCAGAAGGACAGCCCAGGAGGTTTTCTTCCCAGTCACTGCACCCTCTCCTGCAGGCACTGGATACTGGTGCCCCTTTGAGGCTGTTCCGTCCTGGCCATCCATCACCCCGGCACTCTCCGAGAGCTGGCCCAAACCAGGCTGCAAATGTGCTGAGCTCTTCTGGCAACACTTCAGAATAAATGGCAAACCATTTCTGCAGCTTGTTTCCATTGTAGTATTAATCAAACTGAATTCCTGTGGTGCTCATATGGATGTCATATGTAAATCCCTCTGAACTCGGCTGCTGCTCATTCCAAATTAGAATCAATGGAGAAATTTCGCTCCTGCCTCCATCTTGCAGCTCTGAGTTCTTGTGCATTTATTCCATTCATGAAATCCTGATTATTGTGGAAATGAGGAAATACCAGAGCTGATGAAACCCATGAAGAGCATTGGTAAAACCTGGGAATTTATACAGGAGGTGCTCAGGTTGAGAGGCAGCACCATGAAGGAAGCAAACATACCTCTTCATGTCCTACCATAACTGTGTGCTCCACCTCTTAAAATGAAGTGCACAGTCCTCACCAGAATTTCCAACTGTGCAGTCCTCAAGGTGAATATTTTAGGAACAAGAGGTTTTCCAGGCCAGTGCTGGTCCACGGCAGTGGTCAGTGCCACCATTCAGAAGACATGAGAAGCCTCCAAACAGCAGCTCTGGAACAGCTCTGTTTTAAAGAATTTTCTTCCTAGTTATTACTCTGTTTGATGAACTATGTCCCCTTTGTTTGTTTGTTTTTGTTTGGTTTTTTGTTTGTTTGGTTTTGTTTTGAGTTTTTTGTTTGGTTTTGTTTTTGTGGTTTTTTTTCTTGTTGTTGTTTGGGGTTTTTTTTGGGGGGGGAGAAAGAGGCAAATACAGGGTTTATTTTGCTCTGAGAGTATTGATTCCTTTTTATTGCCCTGAGAAGGGGGTCAAAGACCTGTGGAGTAGTTGTTGTATCCCAGAAGTCAGCTGCTGGTCAGACAGAAGCCTCTTTGGCCTTGGGCAGGACCTTCAGCCTTGCAGAGGCTGAACCAGGCCAGTGTGAGCACCTGTGTGGTGTCTCTTGCCTTCAGTAGACAGTCCAGACATCAGTTCCAGTCCCTTGGGAATCCCGCAGCCTTCAGCCCAACACAGCCATGGCATTCCCGTCTCTGCAGGGAAGCACAGGAGGAAGCACGGGAGCAGAGGAATGGGCTGAGGTGGTTCCAGCCCTTCCTGATGGCCTGGGCAGTGGTGGGAAGGTCCCTCATGTCATTGAAGCCCAGAGCCCTCACTCAGCCTGTGCTCCCTGCCTGGCCCCAGTGTGGGTTCCCAGCCAGGACCAGGAGATTCTGCAGATTTGGCAGCAGGCAGGGAACAGCTGAATCCTGGCTTCGCCTTCCCTCCATCACAGGTAACAAAGCCACTCACTGCAGGAAGCCCCCAAACACAGCAGGGCTTTCCAGGAACAACCTTTCCAGACTCCACTAAGCCCTGTCCACACTAGCAATGTTTCCTTCTGATTCCTTCCTTCCTTTCCTCCTTTCCTTCCTTCCTAAACCACTCAAGTTTCCATGTAATCTCCCAGCACAAGAAATCACTCAGGGAGAGACTCCAACCTTAGCCATGTCACTATAAGTACTTTGGAAACTGTTCAGATGCTTTCTCCCTGAGAAGACTTGTGACATGCCTGTGTCACTCCAAGGGGATGTAGGAAAATATACTAGGAAGAAATTCTTCCCTGTGAGGGTGGTGAGGGCCCGGCACAGGTTGCCCAGAGAAGTTGTCACTTCCCCATCCCTTGTGTCCAAGGCCAGGTTGGATGGGGTTTGGAGTAACCTGGGCTAGTGGAAGGTGTCCCTGTCCATGGCAGCGGGTGGAGCCGGCTGGTTCCTTCCACCCCAAACCATTCTGTGATTCTATGACGCCTCCAATGTCCCAGTGAAACACCCAGGTCATGAGAAGTCACTGCTACCGCCAGAGGTCCTTCAGATCCACTGACCACTCACATGAGCAGTGAACTGAATCTCAAGAGCACGTGAATTTTGTTGGATTTTTTTTTTTTTGGGCAATCCAAGGAGCAGAGAGAGGATGTGAGGGCAATGACGGCCCCTGCAGTAGCCACGTGTCACATGGAACCCCCGATCGTTTGGGCTGGAAAAGCCCTCTAAGATCGAGTCCAACCATTCACACAGCGCTGCCAAGGCCACCACTAACCCATGTCCCCAAGTGCCAAATCTACACGTCAGACTCCACCACTGCTCTGCACAGCCTGTGCCAGGGATTGACAACCCTTTACATGAAGAAATTTTTCACAATATCCAATCTAAACCTCCCCTGGAACAACTTGAGGCCACTTCCTCTTGTTCTATCACTTGTTAGCTGGGAGTTCCCAAGATAAGGGGTGATGGGGGATGGTTTTCAGGTACCATTTGCAGGCTCTGGTTGCTCTACAGCACAGGGAAGGTCTGTCAGGATATACCACCAAGGTCTGTGGGTGTTCATGAGGTCAGCTTGCACAGGGGTCTGCCTGGATGGAAGCTGGAGATGGTGTGTGAAGGTAATGAGGTACAACAGGGGCACAAGGGATCCTCTTAGCTTCGAGTCACAGGGATCTTACTTTGCCTGGGGGGAATTCAGGGACACTGAGTCCCCAGATACCTGTGTACACCTGTGGTGTCTCTAGCTGGAACGGTGCTGCAGGGAGATGTCCTGCCCAGTGTGGGAGGAAAGGGAATATCTGGGGGTGCCTGTCCCCAGGACCTGGCTGTGCTGTGCGGGCCCCCCTCAGGCCTGGCTGTCTCCAGTGGGGCCCCAGACATGGACGGATCACTCTGTGGTACCCAGGGGGTCTCTGATAGGCACAGGGGGTCCATCCCCAGACTGAGGGTCACAGTGGGGCTCTGCCCTATGCCCAGAGCGCCCTGGGCAGTCACAGGGGCACCACCCTGGGTGTGTAGATCACGGTGGGAGTCTGCCCCGTGCCCGGAGTGCGCAGTGAGCACGGGGCTCTGTCCCTGAGGGAGGACAGTCCGGAGCCGGCAGCGACGGTCGGGGGGAGTTTGTGAGGGCCGAGCCGATCCTGAGCCTGGCCGAGCCGAGCCAGCCGAGCCCAGCCCCAGCCGCGCCGCGGCCGCTCGGCCCCCCAGCCCCGCTCTCCCCGAGCCGCTCCGGCGGGGCCGGGCCGGGCTGTCCGGTCCCTCCTCCCGCTCCCCCCGCTCCCTCCCCGCCTCCCTGCGCAGCGCGAACATGGCGGCGGCGGCGGCGAGGGACTGAGGGGCTGACGGGCTGGGGGACTGACGGACTGAGCAGCGCCAGCGCTCGGCGGCCGCGCAGGTGAGGGGGCGGCTCGGCCCGGCCCAGCCCGGCCTGGCCTGGCTCGGCTCGGCTCGGCTCGGCCCGGGAGAGGCGCGGTGGGGGCGGGCGGGGTCGGGCCCGCAGCCCGGCCCGGATCTCCTGCCGCCTGTCAGCGCGGCCCGGCCGCGTCCGCGCGGTGCCCGGGCCGGGGGCGGCTGTCACCGCCCGCACCTGCCGGGGACCGCCCGGCACCGGCCCCCCCGGCCCGCGGCAGCGCCCCGCGGGCTCCCCGGCCCCGCCGCTGCCCGGCCGGGCTGTGGCTCCCGGGGAAGCCGCTTCCAGGGCTTTGTTACTCTGCCGGGTGTCCCCGGGCAGGGCCTGGGGCAGCCGCGGTGCCGTCTCGCCCCGAGGCCTCGGAGCGGTGCCTGGCCCGGCCGGAGCGTGCCCCGGCCCCAGCGCCGTTCGGGGTGGGCCCGCCGCTCCCGGCAGCGAAGGGGAAGCGGGACGAGCTGCCGGAGGTTTGCAGGGGGTGGCCCCCGTCTGTGGGCTGTGCCTGGAGGGGATTGTGCCCTTCCTCCCCGCCGAGCCCTGCGGGGCTCAGTGACACCGTCCTGTGCCCCCGGGGGTGTGGGGATGGAGCCCGGTGCTCCGAGCGGGATCCTGCAGCTGGAGGTGTCGGGGTGACCCCCGGGACCCGCCGGAGAAACCCCATAACCACCATCCCTGGGGAAAATCTGCGCCTCCTTCACAGCCCCCCCGAGTCGGGGGCTGGGGTAGAGCTGGGAGTGAGACAACATTCGAGCGTTTCGTGCACAGTTGAGATGTTTAAAAATAACCCCGGTGTCGGCTGGCTCCTGCCGCGCAGGTTTAATCCGCAGGCTCTTTGAAGCTCCCGTGTGAAAACTGTGGCAGCAGTTTGGATGACTGAAGGCAGAGCTGGCAAATCCAAACAGGCGGCCCGAGTTTGGGATGCACTGAAGCTGCTTGGCTCCCTCGGGCCTCGGATGGTTTGGGTTCAGCGGCTGAATATGAAACTAATTATTTCCACGGGGAAAGTCGGGATGTGGAGACCCGGGTCCGGGGTCCCCGGCTTTGGTTTTTTGGCTGAGTTTCTGTTTACTGTTGTTGTTTATAGTAAACAGCGTGCACTGAGTGGCTGGGAACAGCCATGTGGTCGCTGCTCTTCGCAGCCAGTCATATTGGGGGAAGATGTTCTCCCACCTCGGTTCAACGCCTGAGCAATGCCGTGGGCTGGGCTGGGCCTCCTCCTCCTCCTTTTGCCTGCCTCTCTTTACCCTCACACCTCTGCTGGCCAGGCTGTGCTGTCCACACGTACTTGCTAGGAATATTTGGAGTATGGGATGGTGCTTCATCCCAGGCACGGTCCTGTACTTGGTGTTAATATGGGGAAGAAAACTGGGCTCGTGGGGGGCTCAGCTTGGGTCAGGCTGCCGTGGGCTGCAGCCCTGCAGGGCCTCCATGTACCAGGGGGTAGTTCAGGATCTGCCCAGTAGATGGTATGAAAATGCAGATGGAAAATCAAGGAGTCCCTTACAAAAAGGGCACGAAGGAAATATGCAGGTATTTCTATTTAAAGGATTTATTTATTTAATTAAATTTAGTTTGATTCCGTTTTGTTTGAGAGAAATATGCTGCACCTTGGTCTTCCTGGTTTGGTATATGCATCTCAGCAAGTGACAGTTCTGCGTCCTGATAATCTGCTTTTCAGTCAAATATTTGGTATGAAATAAATCAGGTGATTAGCTAATTAAAAGAAAAGAAAATGCAGAGTTTAGAACAGGAGGCCCAGTGGCACCTCGTGCAAGTGCTGAGCCTGAGCCCCTGCTTTTCCTGTGCCTAAAAGTTTAATAAAGTTTAACTCTTGATGCATGTCTCTAGAAACTTAATGAATTTTGCAGGACAATTTGGTGTCTTCAAGTGAAAGATACTGTTAGGGTATGAAATGATGATGTTATTCATCAAGTAACTGTGCTTCAGTCTAGGACGTGAGTGCTCTGGGAGCTGTGTCCCTGCCCTATGTGTAATTTAAAGGACTCTCTGAAACTTTGTTTCCTGGCCTGAGACACAGAGATGTCCTCATTTTTCCCAGCACTGAGTACGATCAGGTACACAGGTCTAAACCCTTCCTAAGTAACGGCTCTTTTTTTAAGGCTCTTCCTGTTGGCAGTTCCACATCTGTGCAGGTGATGTGTGCCAACACCTGGACCTGTTTGCAGACTTGCAGATTGAACTGTGTGCTCGAGACAGAGGGCTTTGCATCCTCCTGAGCTCCTGTCTGCTCCTGGAGCAGCGTGCTGGTGACCGGGGCTCCGAGCTGGGATGAGTTAATTGGGGTTCTTGAATTGTAATATTTGTGTCTAGCCCCAGTCTTTTTTCCTTTCCTTGCCTGCAACTGAAATTCAGTTTGCGGTGACACAAACAGATTTGGAGCAGTTTATGCCTCTGTTTATGTTTGAAAAGTTTCCTAACAAGGAGGGGTCCCTGAGAAATGAGGCAGAGCAGAGGCTCTGGCTGCCAGTTTGTCTTGCAGGGTGGTTAATCTCCTGCACATATGTAATTCAGAGACATGCCAAGGTAAAAATCATCCCACAATTAAACTCTCACTGTAGCAGAACTGTAATTCTGACCCCACCCTCACCCAGCTCTAAGTCCTGGTGTAGCACCTGCACTCCAAGCTGCAACATGAATATTTCATCCCACTTTATTTGCAGGATAACAGGGACTAGTCCTAAAGGAATGGGTTTTTTTGTTTATTTGTGAAGAACTCCTTTCTTACTCAGCTTCAATACCCATCAGTGGAGGCTGTTATAAAACACTCGCTCAGTGTTTAAGCTGATAGTACAAGTCTGAGAGTAGCAGGAAGCACAAGAAAACTTCCTTCTGTATCACCAGGTCTCACTGGGCTGGGAGCAGACAAGTCTAGTGACCTGGTCTGGTGGGAGCACCTGAGCACTGGAGATCAGCACCTCGTCCTTTTTGTGAAGTTGTGCTCTGTCCTGTGTGTCCGTGTCCCTTAGCAGGACATTTCAGAGGTGGTTTCAGTTGTGAGCAGAATTTAGTACAGCTGGTGTTGAAAACTTTAATTCCTAGAGATCTCTATCTACATTAAATTTCCTTTAAAAAACAGAATAGTACTTAGGTCTTTTACTGAGGTTTCTGATGCAGCACTTCTGGCAGATTTAGATGCCGTGATACACGGTTTGCAGTCTGCAGGGTTCACTCATTTCACTTACCAAAAGTCTCTGCCTCTGTAGCGGGGATTCAAGCAGAGTTTGTGTCTTTGCCTCTACTCTCACTGGGCAGAGTCTGACGCTTTTATGCAGACTCATCCTGAGCAAAAAATGAAGAATTTGGCTGAGAACTGAAGGAAAAGATGAACGTCGGTTTTGCTGCCTCGGCTGTTTGCGTGGCAGCCTTGTCCAACAGGCCAGATGGACGGGTGATGTCTGAGCTGCAGCACAGGAGCCGACAGCGCTTGGCTTCCTCAGAGCTGGGAAGTCACCCCTGCAGCTCCAATGTCTGCTTAGTAACTGATCACCGGAGATAAGGAAAGAGTCGATGTGGCCATTACCAACAAGAGACAGTTGACATGGGAGTCCAGGGCAGGACTGTTTTTTCCCTGGGACAAGCTTATACCTCTGAAATATATCCTCCCCTCTCCATTTCTTGGTCAGAAGTTTTTTGTATGTGCTGTAAATCGAACGATGTTAGCACAGTCAGCAGCAGAATTCCTGGAGGTGCCTCCTGCCAGCTGATGAGCTCTGCGTTACCCAGCTTTGGTGAGCTCTGAGTTACCCAGCTTCGGTGAGCTCTGAGTTACCCAGCTTCGGTGAGCTTGTTTTCCAGATTGACAGTGTGAACAGTCCAGAAACCTCTCCGTGGCTCGGGTTTGTTTTCAGCAACAGAAGCTGTAGGACTAGATGCCAGTGGAAATTTGTGAAGCTCAGTCTTTGCCTATTGAGTTTCGTGCTGTTCTTCCCCTCTCCTGGCCCTTCCAGGGTTTCACTGGACACTGTGCCAGGTCCTTTCTCCAGGGTATTGTGACAAGGGAACAAGTTTGGTTCACCCATTGCTGGAGTGACCCATGCTGCAGTTTGCTTGGGGGTGAGGGGAAGAGGTGCACCTTCTGCTCTCCCGAGAGTGCTAGTGATGCGTGACTCCAGCGAAGTGTCCTGCTGGGAAAAGTGGGATTTGTGCCAGGGGGGACTTGGAGGATGCTTGTGTTGAGTTCAGTGTTGGCAGAGGCTGCACAGGACAAAGCCTGGTGTTTCTCCACTGAGTGAGCCACGGTCCCTTTGGCTGCTGCTTGCAGTCACCCCCCTGTCACCCACCTGGACAAGGCAGTGCTGGAACACCTCCCTGTGCCATGGCTGTGCCTCATCCCTGCTCCTGGGCCTCTCTCCCTTCCTGTTTGGAGCAGCCTCTGCCTCCTCCCCTCACATGGAGCCCTGTCCCCCGCGTTGGAGGCGCTGGGAACGCCCAGCTGTGTGTGCAGTGAATGGGGATCCAGCTGGTGTTCCCCCTGCTCCTCCTGGCTGCAGGAGCCTTCCTTGCCATGTCCCTGCCTTTGCCTGTCCTGCCCAGGTGGCACTCAGAAGGTAGAAGGAAGCTCTGCTCTCTCCACGTTAGTTAAGTGAAGGCACAGAGAGCAGGCAGAAGAGCTGATGGAGTCAGGACCGGAGAGGAAGTTGTACCAATTCCACTTTCTAAAAATAAGTCCAGTGACTGTTCCCGCAGCCTGAGACTGCTGCTCCCTGCACGCTGGCTGTGGTTGCTTTTGTTTTTCTTTGTCTTGTTCCAGCAAATCCTAAAAAAGATGCTGCAGTCCATCAAAATAGTGCAGTGGCTGTGTGAGCAGAGAAGTGCCTCTGGAGAAAGGCTTGTGGTTTCAGTGTTTCTAGAAGTGACCTTGAAGGATCACCTATATGCAGTGTTTCCTAGAGGTTTGTCTAAGCTCTTCTTAAAGATTTCCAGTGGTGGTGATTCTGACTTTTCCTCAGCAATCCACTCCAGTGCCT